GCGCCTTCAAACGTAACCCTACCCTATGGCACGCTGAGGCCATCAAGTTCTTGGAATATTGGAGGCACGAGGCCCCCTAACGGGACATCCAGCCCTTCGTAGAGGCACAACGTCCAGCACCTCTCCAGGGACCCTCCAGGAAGCTGGGCTCACACCCATCTGCACTTAGCAGCCCTCCTCTCTCACATATCCCGAGGACTGTTGTCTTTTTTCTTTCTTTTTTGGCCTGGGGAAAATACCTTCCTCCAAAGTTCTTCAAGACACACAAAACTCCCACGCTTCCTTCAAAAATTAAACAAATCACTCTTCATAAAAAGCAAGCCAGAGAAGATCTCTTGGGGTTCTGAGCCATGCTGAATGCCTGCACCAAGGCAAGGAGCTGAGAGCCAACTGCCTGCTTGCACAGGGACAGGGATGAGTGAGAGAAAACAAACATGTGCATCCCGACTATGTCACTCAGACACACTTGATGAACCTTTTGTTTGGGTTTTTTCTGTACCAGGAATCAAACTCAAGACTTTGTGCTTGCAAGGCAGGTGGCGGCACCACTGAACTAAATCCCCAGCTGATAAACATATACTGACTCTCCCTTCCATCACCCAGGACCGTGGTCAACGGTGGTTTCTTTCTTGGTAAATCATACTGTTTAAGAGACGCATCAGAATAAAAATTTCTCATTTCTTCCTGTCAGCTCCTTAGTACATGTACTTCTCAGCAGCCTCTGCCCACTTTTGTTCCTCTCCATTCCTTCCATTTCTCTTCCCAGCCAGACTTACACCATTCAGAGTCACTGTCCCAGTCAAGAGAAACAACAGTACCAAAGGCAGAGGTGCAGTTGGTCCTGCAAATGCCCTTGACCCAGGTCCCAGTCTTTATGTATCACGTGAACACTAATTCCCACATCTGGAGGTGCCTTTCACCCTTCCTCTTCCTTGGCTTTTTTTTTTTTTTTTCTTTTTTGGTTTTTTGAGACAGGGTCTGACTATGTAGTGAGACTGACCTGGAACTCACCATGTAGCCCAGGCTGGTCTCGAACTCACAGCGATCCTCCTGCCTCAGCCTCCCAAGTGCTGGGATTACAGGAGTGCGCCACCACGCCTGGCTTGGCCTCTATTAGACAGCTATTCCCTCTTCCGTAAGACATTCCCCTTCTTGTTGATGTGGCTTGAGTCACAGCTACACTCACCAGGTTTTCCTCTTCTGTTGCCATGGCCCATCCTTGTCATCAGATCTATCTCCCATCTCAGCTCTCTTCTTACTACGTGCTCAGCCTCACCAAACAAACGCCACCCACCTTGACACAGTAGTATCTACCAAAACCTCAAGAATCCACAAATTTGCACCTCCAGCATCTCCCCATCTCCCACATAAAGTGCAATCGAAAAATAAGATCTTTAAGGTTAATCTCCTCAAAATACTCCCCCTCACCTTGGACACAACTATCCCATTGTTCTTGCTACTTTCTGATGTCTTTATTTGCATTGTTGTGACTACCTCAATGTTCTGAATCAATGCAAAATACTTATATTTCGTGATCACTTTAACTTTGGGAAACAGCCAGAAGTCACACAGTCAGACCCAGTGAGTAAGGTGGATTCTCCAGCCTTTCTGTTGGAGGGCACTTGGCAGCAGCATCTATTCTATTTTTTTTTCTCATATTTATTGTATTTTTGATCACACCTCATAAGGACATGAAGGGACTTCCAAAACTGCTTCAGAAGTGGCAAGAGTGATAGGACAGGTGTGTTCCTATTGGGGGTTATTATGATGGGGGTTAATAGAAATGTGTCCTTTGCTGTAATTTTTAAACATTCACCATGTATTTCAATCACACTTTGTATATGCACCGACCTGCTGACTACTGAGTCTAGAAACCAAACATCCAGAGAGAAAAGACTGCTAGTTTCCAATAAAGAATATCAGGACCACAGAGAAGACTGGGGCCAAATGGGTACACTGTAACTCAATACAAGGAAAACTTTTCTAACAAACAGCACTAGCCAGCAAGGGGTGGCTCCTTCTAATAAGAGCTTCCTGCTACTGAAATAAGCAGAGAGGATTTGCAAATAGAAGAAGGCCAAACTAAGCAACACGCATGCTCTTTCCCAGTCTGAGATTGAGACTTCTCAGCTTCACAGAGCTTCAGATACACTTTTTTTCATTTTTGTTAAGTATTTAAAATTACAATTCCTCATTATAAATAATTATATTACCTTTTTTTTTTTTTTGGAGGGAGGAAGGGATTCTGGGGAGAGATATAGAGCCTTATACATGTTACTGCTCAACCACACTCCCAGCCCAATTATTTTTTAATCGTGAGGTACTGGCATACACTTATAATCCCAGCACTGGGAAGGCTGAGGCAGGAGGATCACTGTGAGTTCAAAATCAGCTTGGGCTGGGCCAGGTATTTAGGTCAGTGGTTCTGCCACCTGCCTCACAAGCACAAGGTCCTGAGTTTGATCTCCAGTACCAAAAAAAAAAAAAAAAAAAAAAAAACTACTTAGGCTACATAGTGAGTTCAAGGTCAGCCTGAACTACACTGTGAAACCCTCTCAAAAAAAATAAAAAAATAACCATGATTTTATTTATCAAATAATCTACATTACAACCTCATTTGTCTTGTCATATTTACGCTAGTTTTAGAGAAAACATGTACTTGGTTTGAATTAAAGGCTTGCATGTGAAAGCAGAGTTATAAACTAAGCACTTGTGAATGTTTCTTTTCTATTCTCACATACTGGGGTTTTGTTTGTTTCTTGGTTTGGTTTGGGTTTTTTTTGTTTTTTGAGACAGGGTCTCACTATGGAGTTGAGACTGACCTGGAACTCACTATGTAGCCCAGGCTGGTGTCGAAATCATGGCAATCCTCCTGCCTCAGCCTCCCAGAGTGCCACCACACCCAGCTCACATATTGTTTTTAAAAATAACAAATTAGTACAGAATCCTAACTCTTAAATCATATTTAGTATTAAACACAAAGACATTTTAAAGGCTCTTGAAATACTTTTTTGTCACCAGCCTGGGATATACACTAACAGTGAGCCCTAATCCAGACAAGACAAATTCATGCACCATTACTGAAGACAACTGAATTTATGCCAATATTTCCTGAACATTTTCATGCTGGGTTTGTGGTAGGGAACAGAGATGCTGAGGAGTCATAGTCTTGCCCTCAAAAAGCTCTGAGCCTAAAGGCAGAACAGGCCACAAATCAATGATTTCAGCAGAGCAAGGTGAGTGTTGTGATGGTTGTCAGAACAGGGAAGACCAGAGAGAGGGTGCACTCTGCTTTAGAACAGCATCTTTTCTCTTTTTTAAATAGCTAACTGCAAAATCTGCACTAACAAAAATCTTTATGACAGAAAGTGGGAGCTGGGGTATAACTTATATAAAGTATAAATATAAATATACAAGGAAAACTGCCTCCATTTGTATCACTTGATAAATTACTGTTCCATTTGTCCATTACCTACTAAACCTTGTCACTTACATGTGATTTACATATGAAGTTATCAGAGAAGTTTCACAGTCTACATTTTCACTGTCATTAGTGTTTTCCCATTTTTTTGTTTTCCTCACTCCCACCCAGCGCCCTTCAGATTACTGATGTTCTTTGTATCTTTTTCTATCCAATGGAGATACCAGAACTGACCAGCTCCCTCTTTTCCTGCTTCTGACACACCTACATTTCAGCCAGAAAGCCATTCTAGGGCTGGGTCATGGCTCAGTGATTGGTAGAGCACCTGCCAAGCACATGAGACCTTAGGTTCAATCCCCAGCATAATATATTTTTTTAAAAAACTGATGTCTTTATTTTTAAGAAAATATTATTTTCTACCTACTTGCTCCAATAGACTCTTTCCCTCCTACCTGCTTTGCTGAAATAACTAGAAGGGAGAACTGCAAGGATTAACTTCCAAACAAGAGAATCCCAGATCCACAAATCTTCTAAATCACAGCAGAGGAAACTTGTGGATCTTCTTCGCTCAGCTGCTTAGGCACATTCACTGCATCCAGTTTTTTCTTTCCTCCGCTGCATATATACATGGTGTGTCTACATAATCACACCGTGACTTCACTGTTTCAGTGGCCTCATAACTTCAGTTTAGATTAGATATAACCCTTCATCATAAACTGTTTCAGCAAATCTCCTAACCTCCACAAGGTCCCAGTATTTCTTGGCTCAGTTTTCTGTTTCTCTTGTTTTATTTTTTGTTTCAAGACAGGGTCTCACATATGTAATCCAGGCTGGCCTCAAACTTTCGAATCTGCTGAGAGTACAGGTGTACATCACCACCCCAGGCTCTGGCTCGGTTTACCTTTTCATGCCAGACATACTCACATACTAATAACCTTATCGGCTATGACTGTGGGAGGAGGAAAGGGCTGTGGCGATCTGGTCTACAACTGCCCCTGCACACAGATGGTAAAAGGGACACTTTCTCTCCCTAGGACCACCTTAGCCATGAGGCCTCTCACAGCCAAAGCTGTCCCCTCCCCTCACGTGGCTCTGCCTTGTTCACACATTTTGAAAGGCCCCTGAAAAATAAATGGTTATGTACTCAATTAATTCCTATGGAATTCATTAAGATTTTGTGTCTGGAACCTTTTCCTGATTCAGCTCTGATGAGGGAAGGAGGCAAACAATTCCTTGGCCGGTCAATCAGGCCATGGTGACTTGCTCTGGTGGACCAAGGCGTGGCCTCCGAAGCCCCCGCTGCCCTGCTCTCACACAAGCAGGGCCAATGAAGAGAACAGCTTGGTGCACTCAGGTCCCTCTTCTACCACTTACTTTGGGATTTTGGAGAGGTGTTACATTCCTCATCTCTAAAATGAAGTAATTTTTTTTAAAAAAGTGATTTCATATGTCTCTAGTTTAATCTAAATACTTTAATTCTTAAAATGTAATTCAGGTACTTTAAATGAAGGTGTTAAGGCCTTGCTCTGAAGCACCTAATTAAAAGCAAGAAAAGCAGACAAAGACTATTGATTGCTTTTTCCTATTTTTATTTATAAAGAACACACCCCTTCTTCCTGACGCAGACGCAGATACAAACACTTCACGCATCCCAAGAAGGAGTCCATTAAAACAACAACAGCAGAACTAGGGGAAACAGTAGGACCGTACTTAACAATAGGAGGAACTTATTTAACATAGATCTGTGCAGTCCAGACCTGGGAATAACTGAGAACATCGTCTCAAATAGGACATCTCACCTCAAAGATAGGAAGAGAGACTTTAACCTGCAGGACCCACCTACTACAAGGCAGAAAGCTCCACATTCAATCTTCAGCATCATCAAACTGTCCTGTTTCAAAGACCATCTTAGAATAATGGGGAATCAGCGGAGGAGGGTGGTGCCAACTGGGATCATAGATCATGTCTCCTTGTGGGGCACAGCACACCCAAGGTTTGATCTCTTGATAAATGCTCCCCTGAATGTCATCAGCATCTGCAGGCAGTTTCAAAAGACACATTAGTAGAAGTAATAAAGGTGAAAACAAATTACAAAAACAAAAAATATGTCTAGGGAGCAGATACTCTATTTTAGTAACACAAACATGCAAACATATACAAACAATGCTTCTTTCCTAAAGAATTGCAAATACAGTCATTCTGAACCCATTTGTGCTTTTCAGACAAGGTTCTTAGCAGTGGAGAGGAAGCAAGTGGAAAACAGAGCACTTCTGTCTACAGCTGCTCAATTCAGACAAAGATTTTTGGAGAGACTCACATTTTTTCCATGTTAAAACAAAGTGACACATTATGGAGTCAACTGCAGACTTTGCAGTTTTTGTTTGCTTTTTGTTATTAAATACAAAACAGAAGCTGACACAGAAACTTCAGACCTGTAGTGATTATGAGGCTGAACTCATATGTGGACCCCTCTTTCAAACTGTTTGCCTCCAGGTTAGTCTAGAAGGAGGGTCTGAAAAGATCTGGCTCAGGATCCCAGAAACTTCACACCTACCATAAGGATTCCCTTGATCTGCTTTCAACTCCAAATCCCAGTCCTCATTAAAAAGATCAGCGGTCTGTTGCTTGAGTGGACAGCGTGTTCCTTCGGACAGCTCCCAGGTACTCTTTTCCCCATCAGACTCCTCATCCACAGCAAAGCCTTCCTCTTTAGAATGTGCATCCTCACCATGGGTAGGAATGTCATTAGGGATGCTCTGTGTTCCACTGGCTAAGAAATTGATAACAGGAAGGTCTTAAAACTGAAAAACCAGAGAAGCCCTGCTCCTGTGCTTGGAAAACATGTGGCAGACTTACTAAGAGGGCAGTAACACACATGTCCTGAGCTCGTTAGTCACCTAGGCACTTAGTTTATGTTTCTAGAAGTAGGGTTGGTCATTTCTTTTCAATAAAATGTTTTGTCTCAAACAAGGTCACTGATTGCCAGGTCACACAGTTCACAGAAAGCAAAGCCCAGTTTACATTTTCAGGTAATTTGCATATCATTAAGCCAAAGGTCTCCAACAAGCCACATGACACATTTTCACACAAGTCTGTGTTGAATTTTACTCTTCAATTCCTCCCTTCAGCCTCAAAGAGCATGTTAGAGGTGTATGCAGTTTTGAGGGAGAGCAGAGGAAATGCAGGCAGAAAAGCATGACCAGACATGGCCTGTCTGGTCACCACATGCAGCCTCCGTGGCCCTCTTTCTGACAGAGAGGAAGCTGGCAGGTGCATTTTCTTTTCTTTTTCTTTTTCTTTTTTTTTTTTGGTACCAGGGATCGAACTCAGGGCCTTGCACTTGCCAGGCACAAGGCAGAACCTGTAAACCAAATCCCTGGCCCAGAAAGATCCGCTTTCAAAAGCTCTCACAATGGAAAAAAGTCTGAGAAAGGACAGCATGTAGTGCTAATGGTATTGCCATGTCTGTGCTGGGAATGGAATCAGCCTAAAGCAGCTGTAATAATAACAGTGACAGCAATAATGTCATAGTTCAGTGCAAGAGGCTTAAAACCAGACTGCCTGGACTCAGTTCTGGTCTGTCAATTACTAAATGCATAAATGAGTGGAAATTGTAATTAACTGATTCCTCAATAACTTAAACTCAGAATTACTACATAATCCAGAAATTCCACTCCTAAATATATACACAAAGGAACGGAAAACAGGCATTAACAAAACAAGAATGTTCACAGCAGTACTATTCACAATCACCAAAAGGGAGACACACCCCAAATGTCCACCCAAGGATGGATGGTAAACAAAATGTGGCACATTCGTGTGTGGAATGGAGCGCTGATACATGCTGCAACATGAATGAACCCTGAAAATAACATGCTGAGTTCAAAGAAGCCAGACACAAAAAGGCTACAAATTGCATGTCTCTATTTATAGTCAACTCACATTTGCCTATCCAGAATACGTAAATTGACAGAGACAGGAAGCAGATTAGCAGGAAAGAGAAGAATGGAGAGTGAATGACTACTTGATAGGTATGCAGGCTTTCCTTCTGGGATGATGAAAATGTCCTGGAACTAACTAGAGGTGATGGCTGCACAACACCATCATTGTGCTAAATGGCACTGATTCACACGCTTTAAATTACGTGGTAATTTTGTTACCTTTTATCACAATTTAACATTTTTTTACTGTGTGCCTCAGTCTCCTCACCTGTAATATAGCTTTGCTGAGAGTTTATTTAAAGAAAAAGAGAGCTGGGGATTTAGCTCAGTGGTTCCACTAACTGCCTTGCAAGCACAAGGTCCCAAGGAGTTCAATTCTCAGTACAAAAAAAAAAAAAGGAAAGACAATTTAGAGCTGTGCCTGACACACACTAAAAACTCAGTAAATGCCAGCTGCTGTGACAGCACCTATTAGGTGCTTGATCTAAACCAGCACTGTTCACTGGGCTTCTCTGCAATGATGGAAATTCTCTATATTCTGTGTGGTTCAACAGTGTAAGCCACAAGTGACTATGGAGCAAATGAAATGTGGCCAGTGTAACTAAGGAACTAAATTTCTCATTTTATTTTATTATAATTAAATTTATCTAACAGCAGTGGCTAGTGGTTATTGTACTGGAAAGTACAGTTCTAGATCCTCCTCTGTCAATCCTCAGAAAAACCTAGGACAGTTACGGTGAACCTGTTAGTTGTCAATGACACAAACAGCCTGCTGCAGCACACAGGCTGTAGGTTCACCCACTGCCATAGGAGACAGGTATTATCAGCCCCATTTTAAAGGTGAAGAAAGGCTAAGTGACTTATTTAAGGGCAAAGACACTCTGACCTGGGGCTGAAACTGAACACAATTTTGTCTGGCTCCAAAGCCTGTATTCTTTTCACTGTTCCAAGCTATTTCTCTCTATCGTAGGGGTGGTTTCAGAATCCCAACATGCTTCCCTTAAGGAAGCTCCTGTGACCTTTCCAAACAAGGGCACTACTGAAACACTGGGCAGAGAAAGCAACTCAGCAGCAAAAAGGATCAGCTCAGTAGGCTGAGGCTGGAGTATCGCTGTGAGATAGAGGTCAGCCTGGGCTACACAGTGAGTTCCAAGGCCAGCCTGAATCACATAGCAAGACTTTGTCTCAAAAAAGGACCAGCTAGCAAGGAAAGGTAAACAAGACACAGGGACTGAACTTTCACCTTCCCTGTCTCTCCCAACAGCCACCCAAGTCTTGCCATCTACTTGCCTAGTCGATCCATGGCCATCTCAGTCTCTCTCTCTGGACCAGAATGGTCAGCTGTTGCAAGGCCAACCTGCAGAAAAAGCAATTACCAGAAACTTGGGGATCTGGCATACGCCCAGAAGAAAGCCACTGCTGTGCAGCTGCAGAGCCCTTCCATACTCCCCTTCAGGGCACAGGGCTGAGATCCTGCAACCCCCATTTCTGCTTTACACCCCTTACATTCAGCAAGGCTGGAGGGAGAAAGGTCTTGCTCCTTTTATCCCAGCAGCTCTTCTTCACCATTGGCAGTGAGAGTGTTTTCCTGTCATAGTTGATGAATGCAGATGCCAGTTTTGTCAGCACTTATAGACCCAGGTTCATCAGTGGGCCACCTCTTCCGGGGCCTGGGCCTCAGGACCCTTCCAACAACCCAATGCCAGGTGGGGCAATGCCCTATCGCAAAAGGTTGAAACTTCAACTCTGTGAAGCCTTACCCCTAAGCTTATATATTTTAATCACTCCAACTTCATCCATCTGTTCCCCCAGCCATAGCAATGGCAGCTGTTTGTTGGAAGGTGCTTCCTGCTTATACAGTGTTACCTTTTCAGTTACTTAACAACTTCATGCTGGGAGTGGTGGTCACACACCTGTAATCCCAATACTCCCAGGGATGAGGCAGGAGGATCCATAGCTCAAAGCCAGCCTAAACTATATATAGCAGTAGCTTGTCTCAAAAAACAAAACAAAATTATATGCACAGAACACCTCCTTCTATTGAATTCTGTCTCCTCACTGATAAATGGGAGGGACAGGGCTTCAGCTCCTCTGCAAATGAAAGCAATTTTTTTGGGGGGGTACTGGGGATCGAACTCGGGACCTTGCACTTGCAAGGCAGGCAGCGGAACCACTGAGCTAAATCCCGGGCCCTGAAAGGAATATTTTCTAATCCCCAATTAACCAGATATTTGTCTGGGCTCATCACTTGAAAGTTCCTGAAACCTGTGGTCAGGAAAGCACATGCCTACAATAATCCCAGCTGCTCAGGAGAGTGAGGCAGGAGAATTCCAAGTTTGAGGCCAGCCAGAGCAACTTAGTGAGAATCTACCTTAAAATTAAAAAATAAAATAAAAGGGCTAGGAACATAGCTCAGTAGTGGAGTGCTTGCCTAACACGCACAAAGCTCTAGGTTCAATCCCCACTACCACCAATAAATAAATAAATAAGCTGGGCATGGTGATTCATGCTTGTAATCACAGCACTCAAAAGGCTGAGGCAGGACTGGGGATTTAGCTCAGTGGTACTGAGCCTGCCTCACAAGCAGCACAAGGTCCTGAGCTCAATCCCTGGTATCACAAAAGAAAAAAAAAAAAACAAAGGCTGAAGCAGGAGAATCACTAGGACTACATACGTACACACATAAAAAGTTCCTGAAACCCTATCATTTCCAAGATTTCTAAGATTACACAAGAGATGTTCACTGCCTGCAATGAATACACTGATTTCAGTCCTAGCTCTCCCATTCACTGTGTGACATCACCTGGAAACTGGAGTTGGCTGTTCTTACCTTGCAAGGGGCTTATGATGAAGTAACATTTAAGGAAACTCCTAGCATGTTGCAGGGATGTGACTGCTTGAATTTAAATTCATCTTTTATCCTACATCTAATCTGTACTTTTGGCGCCTGCCCCAACTAGCATTATCTACTTATGCAGCGGTTTAACAATATTCAACTCCACCTTCTGCGGTCAGTGACAACCACTGGTAACTGCTGCCTACCACCTAAACCACTGCCATGGCTTTCCATCCACCTCCCCACCCTCTAGCCTTGCAGTGGTAATCACTGATCGGCTCAAAACCTTCAACAGCTCTCCACTGTCCCAGTACAAGATCAGCCACGGCGTTCACGCTCCCCCTCACTGCCAATCGACTTGTTGAAAGTATTCCTTTGCATGCTCTGGAAGTCAAACTCCAATCCATTTGCTAGGCTCACTCTCATCCTCGTGCCTTTATATATAGGTATCACTCCTCCTCATCTTGGGAGAGAAGGTGCACGTCCTTTTCTACTTTGACATCTTATCTCATTCTTCAAACTAATTTTCTTCCTAAATCTATGGCTACATTTTTTCATATCCTGGGTTAACACCAGCTTCGGTGCATAAGCAAGCGTTCCATCCATCCGTTCCATTAATATGCGTATGTAACGTCCCTGGCACAATGCTAGGTGCTGGGTAAACAGCCCTAAACAGAGTTCTTATTGTCAGGGAGCTCAAGAGGGATTAACTGTAAACATGGACAGGTGATGGATGTAATAAAGGTCTTGGAAAAAAATGGTATGCACATTAAAACAAGGTTCTGGAAAACCTGCGTCAAACTGGGCCTTTGGGTCTAATTAAACAGAAAAGGGAACGACGCTAGTGTCATCCTCCGGCACTCAGGGTTAAACAGGCGCCCCACCGATGGACCGGGCTCTTCGAGTTAGCCCGGTCTCTCCTGGCGCCCTCACGTGCCCAGCCTCAGGCCCTTCGCAGCGGGTCCCAGCTCCCCTCGGTCTGCATCGCCTCCCCTCACCGAGGACCCCAGGGAATCCCCGGCCTGCAGCCTCCCCGCCCACGCCCCGGG